CTCGAAGGAGCGGGGCGAGGGGTCGAGAATACCAAAACGCTCGATGGGACAGGCGGGGACATCACGGCCAAGAAGTAAGGCTATGTTGTGGAGAAAACGTGGACAGCACCAATAATGCTCTTGAGTATCGGGCTTCTGGAAACATCCTAGTCTACATTGTAAAATATTATCAGCATGCATACGTCCTGAGGTCACCCAGGCACCTCCGAGAGTCTTCCAAAACGCATTCACAAAACACGGCTTTGATCTGGATAAAACTTCCCGCGCCCTATTCCATTGAATACGGGGGATCGTGCTCCTATCCTCGGGGAACCACCTCTTAAGCCTTTCCTGGAAATCGTGAGGAAGCCGATCATGGAACGAGTCCCGCAGAAGCGCCGCGCCGAGAGCTCGTTGAACCTTAAGCTTCCTAGTGCCGTCGGGGATCGAATTACGAGTTTCTTCGAGAGAGGCGAGGGCAGCAGCGCCAGCAGCCTGCAGACGAGGGAAAGAGGGAAACCCTTTGGCGGCCTCTTCGAGGTCTTGGCAGATAGCTTGCTTCCGCCAGAATCCAGGAGCAAACTCCTTCCGAGCAGCTGTGACCGTCGGAAGATGTCTTCTTGCCTGCGTACGCAGGCCAGTCACAAGCGATCTCCACTCAGGGAATGCGGATAGAGTACTTCTCACCAACGTGGCCAACTGGCATATCACCAGGCTCGGGATCGCTGGACCACCCCAGCGGTACAAGTTAAAGAAGCTGGCGCGCGAGAGGCAGCAATGAGGGACGTTGTACAGCGCTGCTTGAATAGCGTGCTCACGCCTATCGATGGGATTGCGGAGGAGAGTGGAGGCGTCAGGAGGGAGAGAAAATTGGGCAACGTAAAAGACGCACGGGAGCGCACGCTTCGCATACAGATACTGCGTCACCGACGTCGGCCCACCGACAGCAGCGATCTGGGCGCCTCGGGAGGCCCACTTTTGGATCGGGCCCCGCCAAACATGGTCTTCGACCGCCGGCCCTAAAAGGACCCCTAAATAGGTGAGCATCGGGGCGACTAGGAAATTCGACCAGGCTGGTAGATTGTCACTCAGCCAGAATGAGTATCTACGGGCAAGCTCTTCCGAATATTCCCCCGCAAGTGGCACTGCGAAGCATTTAGCTGGCTTAAGTTTTAAATTGGTGGCTTTTTCCCCGAGGTCGAAAATTTCTTTCATGGGCGTCAGATGTACGAGACTACTCATCACAGCCCCTACGTCGTCAGCACAGGCACGGGCCATCGCATATCGGTGTCGGTCGAGACGATCGTGGAAGGCGGCGAGGATAGGATGGCTGGCGACGGCATAGAGGGCCCCCGAGGCGGGGCAACCTTCGATGATCCCACTGTCGATGTCGAACAAGAACTGACGAACGCGTCCCTGGGCGCCAAAGCACTGGACCCTGGAGTAGGCGAGCTCGAGAAGGCGAAGGAGGGGCTCGGGGGGGTTCGTCCGCCTGAGGCACTTGAAGATCCACTCCTGGGAGATCGACGGGAAGGCTTGCCCGTAGTCGAACGACACGAGACACGGTAACAGACGCGAGACATCCTCGTTCATCGAACAAATCCTGGCAAACTGGTCCAACTCAATAATATTCAATCCAAAATTACGTCCAGAAACAAAACCACGTTGCGTGAAAAAGATAAACGGTGCCAGAGCCCTGGAGTATTGTTGAATGGCCAACCCGATAATGATTTTGTTGGATGTCTGTTTAAGGCCAAGCGGCCGCGTCTGCCCCGCACTGCGGAGGATCTCATTCGAGCCCTCCTCCTCCGAACCCTTCGGGGCGAAGGCGGCGCGCGCGAAGTTGAAGGACGGGAGCATCGGCTTCCCCTCGAGAAGCCACCAGAGACTGCGGTCAAGCAGCTGAACTCCCCTGTGGTGGTTTTGCCACGCAGCATACGGGAGTCCGTCTAAGCCTGGGGCGCTGTGGGATTGATTTTGCAGATAGCGTTGGATCCCATGGAGGGTCGGGGGCTTCAGGTCCTGGAGCTGGGCGTTCGGGGGGAACATATCCAGTAGTGTGTTCGCAGCATCTCGGCCAATTTCACACGCGGCAAAAATCTTTCCCCAATGGTCAGCAAGCTCCCCCAACATTTCATCAGGAGCTCGACAGACCTCGTGCTCATGTCGAAGACCCTGAAGACACAGTCTGCGGTCCAGAGGGGACCAGAGCCTACTCCTGCGCACAATTCCTTTGAGTCTCCGACGATGTTTAGTTCGGTCACGGTCGTTAGTAGCGTTAGCAATATGTCTGTTCGTCTCGTTCTGACGTCTCATGGCGATAGTCGTATGTATCTCGTTGGAGACTCTTAGAAATTCGTCAGGTTCAAGTAGAACGACTCGACGACCGAGTACATCCACTGCCAAAAAACGAGCTCCAAGCGGGTGCGAGGCACGCACACGCTCAGCCAGCCGTAAGTCCTGCCTCCAAATCGCTCTCGCCACCGACTTCACCACCAGAAATTGGGTCGACGGGGCTCCAGGGACCTTCGCGATGGCATGATCACGAGCATAGCGGGCAGCTTCGCGCATGAGGATGGTGTGGTATTCCAGCTCCTTTGGCGGGGACGTGTGGGAGGATGGGCCTGCGGCCATGGCTTTTTCCAGAAACAACGCAAATTGCTTGGACTCGAAAACCTCCTTGGGGATGGGTCTTTATTCGGCGGTACTTTCCCAGCGGTGGCAAGAGAGAAGAGGATCGGGGCGTGGTCGGAGAGGCCCTTCTGGTGCAAGGACTCGGGGATGGTCCGTCACCTCCCCCTCGATGCAAAGCTGTGTGCAGAGCCAGCCTGGACAAGAGATGAAGCCGCGATCGATTTTCGCGAGCTTCCTGGCGGGTTTATAAAAGTGGGTAGGCCCAGGGATGTCAATCTCAACCATATTGCTAAGGATCGCAGGCAGGTCACCGCCCCTTCCCCGCGCCGGCGACGATGTGCTTTCGTTTCTCCAGTCTTGAATACTCTGCAGGGAAATGGGGGTCGGGACGTCACCAGAAAATATCGGCGGCTCTGCACTAAAGTTGAAATCACCCAGCACCACGACGAGGGCCTGCAGCGGTGACCGAGCAGCTGCCTCTAAGTAGGTGCGGATCTCGTCCGCGATGCGCGACTTGGACTCACCAGGGATCCCGAAGTTGTGGATATTGAATATCGCAACCCAGACGTCCCATGAGAACTCCAGCTTCGTCAGGATAGCCCTCCCTTCCACCAGAGTCTGACGCATAATGTTTGCCCTAGACCCAAGATGCCCAAAGTCCGAGAAAATCGTCGTGACGCCTCCTTTTGCGTGCGGGGAGTTCATGAAAGAGGAATGGGTGGAGAAGCCAGAGAAGCGGGAGTGGAACATGAAATCTTGTAGATGATGAGCTGAACCGTGTACTTCCTGAAGTGCAAGAACGGACCCAGGTTTGAGGAACGAACGGAGAAGGGAGGCCTTCTTGGAGGCCAGCTCGGGTTTGTGATGGAAAAGGGCCCTGGTGTTCCAGCTCAGGAAACGAAGCGGGAGACAGGTCCCGCGTGCATCACGCCATACCTTGAATATGCTAGGAGCTCCACTCCACCTGCTCAGTGGTCTGGAACTCTGACTTGATGGCCTCCATGATCTGCACCTTGTCGAAGCCAAAGTGCTGGAGGTTCGTCGTCGAGAACTCGATGGACGGTGCACCGTCGCCGTGGACTGGGGTGACCCTGATGAGTGCCTTCCACTGGCAGCTGATCTCACCCTTCTGCTTGTCCGTGAAGAATGTGTGGTCCCCGCGCAGTCGTTCGAGAACTCGTCGTATCTGCTTACATGCCAGTTCTCTTTTGATCTGGCACGCATTCTTGTCGCCCGACACGAAGACTTCGACCTGCTGGTCCGAGACGTCCTTGGCCGTGAACCTCTGCCACGAGCCGTCGGCCTTCTTGAGGGCACCGAGTGCCTGGGAGACCTTTCTGGTGGCGTAGGCCTTGGAGCCAGAGATGCGGAACGTGTATCGCTTGGACGTCGGGTCACCCTCGATGGTGTAGTCGGAACTATCCAAGTTGACCCTCTCGAACCACTCACGCATGGCGCCTTCCATGGCGTGCTTGGCAACCAGAGACTTGGCTCTGGCGATGATGATGGTGGTGTCCACAGCCCTGTCGAAGCCAGGGTCAGCAGGAGGAGGAAGAGGCTTCTCGCTACGCACAGCCCCCAGAGTGGTCTGGAGCTCCTTGACTTGTAGTTCGAGTCCTTGGATGCGGTGGTCGTGGTCCGCCATGCGGTGCTCGATGGAGCCACACCTGTCCTCAATCTGCTTGGAGAGTGAGTCGAAGGACGTCGTGACATTCTTCGTGAGAATGCCCATTGCCGTCCGCACCGTGTCCAGTGCGGCCAGCACGTCGTCCTTGGACGCATCCACGTACTTCTTGATATCCTCAGGAAGCTCGTCGAGTTTGAGCTTCTTCGCGCCATCGGGAGACGCTGAGGACATTGCGCGCGCGCCCAGATGTGGTGGAAAATGAGGAATGAGAGGAAAGGGTCGAAAGGGGGCCGAGCTGTCTTCCTGGCGACAGCACCTCGGGCCCAGGTTTGTCCCTCCACGAGGGGTTGGAAGGGCAATCCCTCAACGGCCTTGAGCCAAAATGGCTACGGACCTCCTCCTTTTCCTCCTCCTCCTCCACCTCCTCCTCCTCCTCCTCCTGCTCCCTCGTCTGCCCCCATGCCCCTGAGGGGAGGGAGGGGGGAACTCGACTGCAGGATGCCGGCCTGCGCAGAGGCCTGCCCGGCCGGGTGGAGCGGGAGGGGAGGGGAGGGGAGGGGAGGGGAGGGAGGGGAGGGGAGGGGAGGGGAGCAGCGCGAGGGAGGAGGGAGGAGGAGGGGGGGCAGGAGGGGGAGGGAGGGGAGGGGGGGGAGGGGAGGGGAGGGGAGGGGAGGGAGCAGCGCGAGGGAGGAGGGAGGAGGAGGGGGGGCAGGGGGGGAGGGCGGCGTGGGCCCACCCCCCTGCCCCCCCCACGCCCGGCCTGGAGCAGGCTGTCCACGCCCAGCCGGTCGAACGACATGGCCGGCGCCGGGGGGCCCCTTGGGGCGCGCGCGGCGGGCGGGGGGGGGGCTGCCCGAGCCCACGTGGCCTGCAGGTCGAGGGGAGGAGGGCGGGACCCAGAGCCCGACGTCGGTCCCCAGAGCTCTCGACGGACTCCCCGAGGCCGGCCCTGCATCCCGAGTCGCTTGCTTGACGGCCCCGGGGCCCAGCCGAGGGCCCCCAGAGGTCGAAGATGGCCGACGACCTCCTGCCATGTCGCTTTCGCGACGCAAGAGGGGCCCAGGGAAGAGGAAGGCCAGGCCACGACGGTGCGGGGAGGGCGTCCGGCCGACGGCTGCCTGCGCAGCGAGAGGCGGAGTGGACGCCTGCGCCCCTCCCCAACCGCCGGCCCTCCCCGGCCAGATGCGCGTCCAGAGGCTCGTGGGGTGGGCTTGCCATTTCCACGCTGGGCGCCGAGGGTGTGGAAGGAAGGCAACCAGAACACCGTCCGCAACACAGTCTTTAGTCTGCGAGACCAATTGACTCAAGCACCCTTCGGGCGGCGGCGGGGCGCATCCGTGGCGAATGGCAGCACGGTGGAACGGGGGCGGTGGGAGGAGGAAGAGGAGGAGGAGGAGGAGGAGGAGGAGGAGGAGGAGGAGGAGGAGGTGCAGGAGGAGGAGGAGGAGGAGAAAGAAGAAGAGGAAGAGGAAGAGGAAGGGGAAGAGGAAGGGGAAGGGGAAGAGGAAAATGAAGTGGAAAAAGGAAGAGGTAGAGGAATAGGAAGCGGAAGAGCACGAGATGATGATCAGGAGGACGGCCGCCGCCACAGCCTTCATTGAGGCCAACTGCTCGCGCGCCGTGCGAGCGGCGCTGCTGGCACGCAGCAGGCCGACGAGGAGGAACTACGAGATCGGCGAGTGGGTCTGCTTCTGGTGACCAGAGCAGACGCAGGGGCTGTTGAAGTGCCACTGGCGCGGCCCAGCTCTGGTGGTGGCAGTGGAGGCGAAGATCAACGAGAACAACGTGATGCACACCTCAGTGGTGTGGGTGACGCACGGATGCACGATCTACCGATGCACTGCGGAGTAGCTTTATTCTGAGCTGTTAGGCGAGGCCCGCGAGCGTGAAGGACGCAGCGAGGACCCTGACAGCCCGCTCAGCACGATCGAGAAGCTTCAGGCGCGCACCCAGGCGGACGCAGGGGACCTGCAGTTACCGGGACCTCGCCGAGGAGGGGCGCTTGCCCCAGTGCGACGACGCCCTGGGCGAGCAGCATCAGCCCAGCGCCCAGGCGCCCATGGAAGCGGACGGGACCGACGGACCGACGGGAGCAGCTGCCGCGGCGGCTCCTGGAGAGCCTCGGCCGGCGACGCCCGGCGAGGAGGAGGGCGGCGGGCCAGCGGCGGCCAGTGCGGGCGCGTCCGGCAGCGCGGAGCAGGAGCCCAGCAGACTCCACACCGAGGCGATGGCTAAGAGGGGTGTCGAGGAGGCCGAGAAGCTGGACGGTGTCCCGCTGGCCAAGCGCACCTGCCCGTCGTGGGCGAGGCTTGCTGCACGGAGCGAGGAGGCCGCGCTCGCCGATGAGGTGGGCGACGAGATGTTGCTGCTGGAGGAATCCACCGAGACGTCCTACATGCTGGCCTTCAAGAGGAAAGCCCCCACCATCGTGGAGGGGAGGCTGACGCCTGAGGTGAAGGACCAGTTCTACGCGGCGAAGCTGAAGGCCCTCGAGGTTTCCAATCGCCACGACGGCTGGGGGGCCCAGCAACGAGGCGGATGCGGATCCCGCAGCCTGCTGCCCTCTAAGCTTCCTGCTCAAGTGGAAGATGAAGGACGGCCAGAAGGTGGCCAACGCGCGTGTACTCTACCAGCGGTTTAAGCACCGCGACGTCGCCGAGGGCCAGCTCGACAAGGAGGCGCCGACCCCCAGCAGGCTTGGCCGACACACGGTCATGCTCTGGGCGTCTATGAGGAAACGGATGCTGCTCACCGCGGATGTGAAGTCTGCTTTCGTGCAGGCTTGAGGACGTGAGCGTGCGCGGCCTCGAGCTGCACGCGAGCCCGACGAAGGAGATGAGAGAGATGCTCTCACACCAGATCGGCCTGCAACCTGGACAGCTGCTCAAGATGATCAAGCCGTGCTTCGGTGACCCGCGGTCGCCCAAGCTCTGGCACTACTACCGTTCCGACGAAGCCACGAGGGAGATCGGGTCCAAGAACCACAAGCTCGAGAATTGCCTGCTGTTGTCCCTGCGCCCGGCGAAGGTCGGGGACGACCCGTTAGACGTGCGCAGCTTCGAGGGCCAGACCTACGTGGTGGACGGCCTGATCGGCAAGCGCATGGGCGACTTCATCGGTTGCGGCGAGGGCGTGACAAACGAACAGGACCTCTACGCGAAGCTTGACGACACCGAGCGATTCCAGGCTCGGCTAGGGGCGCTCAACGAGAAGTTCAAGTTCGTGGGAGTTCGGGCCGAGTCTGATCTTCACTGTAGGCGAAGTGGGGCAGTCCCTTGTCACCTACAGCATAACCCGTAAGTTCGAGAAGTACCTGCACGCGGTGAAACCCATCACCGTCGAGAAGCACCGGAGGGCTGATCCCACGAGTGCGTTGTCGCCGAAGGGGCTTACGAACTTCAGGACCCTGAATGGCCAGTTGCAGTGGCCGGCAGCCCAAGGAGTGATCACGGCAGCGGCTGCCGTTTCACTCAGAGCTTCGGCAGCAAGGCGAGTCTCCGTGCAGAGCTCGCTGGGCGCGAACAGGGACCTGCGCTTTCCGAAATCCAGCGCGGACGTGGGGCCTTGCTCCGGGCTCGGCGAGGCGTGGAGCGACCCGAGACCCAGACCCCCGACGTCGCGATTTTTTCACGACGTCGACCCCCAGAGGTCTGGACCCCTTCCCCGGGACCGGTTTTTCGCTTTGAGTCGTTTTTTGACGGTCCCGAAGGCCGGTAAGGGCCCCCAGAGGCCGAAAACAGCGAAAAACCTCCCGTCATGATTTTTTCATTACTCGAGGGGGTCTGGGGAGTTGGCAGCTGCACTGGCGCGAGCTGGGCGAGCCGACACGGCGGCCATCCGCAGCGAGGCGGCGCGGCCTTCCTCGGACCCGCGGACGCGCTCAGCGCGCCGGCACCCCGACGCCCCTCGTGGCCACGGAGTATGGGCCTCGAGGGAGCCAGTGCAGCGTCTGTGCAGGAGCTCGCGATCGGCGGCGGCCCGGGCAGCAGCTCTGGGGGCGGGCTCGCTGATGCACAGGTGAAAGAGAGAGCGTGATCCACCGCCGCTTTACTGTGGAAAATTGCCCACCTTTTCCTCCGGAGCCCGGGGGTCGCCCCCCCCCCTCCACCCGAAATCCCCCCCCCCCCCCCCCCTGCTGGAACCCCTACCCCCCCAACCCCCCCCCCCCCCCCTCCCCCGGCAAAACCCCCCCCCCCCAGACCCCCCCCCCCTCCCCCCCCCCGCTCGAAAACGGAGGGGGTCACTACCGGTTCGAACCCTCCCCCCCCCCCCCCCTCCGGATCCGGCAAACCGGGGGGGGTCACTACCGGGTCGAAACCCCCCCCCCCCCCCCCTTACCCTTCGGATCCGGAAAACCGGAGGGGGGTCACTACGGTTCGAACCCCCCCTACTCACCGCCAGCAAACGACTCCCGGTCCCCACCACCGTCCGCATCACATCCCCCACTGGTGTTCCCAGCACCACTGTCCTCACCACCGCTGTCCCCACTGGTTCCACCACCGCCCCTACTGTCCCCACCAGTGGCCCCACCACTGTCGCACTGTCCCCGCTGTCCCCAGAACTGTTCCCACCACGGTTCCACTCTCCCCACTGTCTCCACGGCCCCAACCACTGCCCGACTATCCCCACTGTCCCCACAGTCCCACTGACTCCTCCGCTGTCCCACTGAGCTGTCCCACTGTTCCCACCACTGTCCCCACTGTCCCCACCACTGTCCCCACTGTACCTCTGTCCCATTGTCCCACCGCCGTCCTCGCCACCGCCTTCACCACTGTCCCCACCACCATTGTACCCTCCACTGTCCCACTGTTTCCACCTCATTCCCATTGTCCCCACACCACTGTCCCCACCACCACCGTCACCACCACTGTCCACTGTCCCCCCTGTTCCCACCATTGTCCCCACCACTGTCCCGACCACTACCGTCCCCACCACTGTCCCACTGTCCCACTGTCCCCACCACTGTCCCGCTATCCCCTCATCACTGTCCCCACCAACACCGTCCCCACCACTGTCCGCACCCCCACTCGGTTTCGAGGGGGGGGGGGGGTTCGAACCGGTAGTGACCCCCCCCGGTTTTCGAGTGGGGTGGGGGGGGGGGAAGGGTTCGAACGGCGCCGGTGACCCCCCCCTTTTCATGAAGAGCTGGGGGGGGGGGTGGGGAGTTCGAACCGGTAGTGACCCCCCCCGGTTTTCCGGAGGGGGGGGGGGGTAGGGCGAAGAAATCTATACATATCCACTGCTCCCTGGCCAGGCCCATCCTCAACCCCGCAGCGGTGTATACGCCACGCCCTCCTGGCTTGGCCAGGAGGGCGCATACACAGCTCCTGGATTCAAGATGGGCATGGTCAGGGAGCAGTGGATATGTATAGATTTCGTCGCCCGAGGGGGGAGGGGTTCGAACCGGTAGTGACCCCCCCCGGTTTTCCGCCAGCAGCGGCAGAGCACGCTCTTTCACAGGTGAAGGCCTGCCTGGCGCGGGGCCTGCGAGGCCCGACCGGGGGGGCGTGAAAACGGAGGATCGGGGAGAGGAGGGGAGGAGGAAGAAGGAAGAGGAGGGGAGAGGAGGAGGAAGAGGAAGAGGAGAGGAGAAAGGAGAGGAGGGGAGGAGGAAGAAGGAAGAGGAGAGAGGAGGAGGAGGAGAGAGGAGAGGAGGAGGAGGAAGAGGAGAAGGAGAAATCGTGAAAACGTGATCGGGGAGAGGAGGGGAGGAGGAGGAAGAGGAAGCGGAGGAGGGCGAGAAGGATCAGGACGATGATGCGGGCGACGAGGACGTGGATGATGAGCCGAGGAGGAGGAAGACGAAGAAGCAGGAGGAGGCAACAGGGGGCGATAAGGAGCAGGAGGAAGAGGATGACGACGTACTGGGG